TTTTTTTTTTTTTTTTTTTTTTTTTTGGGGGGGGGGGCATGCATTTTTTAGGCATTCATTCCATTACTACCAAACCGTATTTTTGTTCCAGTTCAAATTTTCTTAGACTTAGTGGATTTTTTTTGGTAAAAAAGGGCAGGACCCTGTTGAAGATTAACATGATTTTAGTGTTTTTAGAATTAATTTTTTTTTTTTGTTTTTTAATGTATTATGTTAATGGCTGCCCCATAATTAAGTACCAAACCATTTTTTACCTGCAATAAAAAGGTTTGTTTGGGCCCCATTATTTAGGTCAAGTAAAGTACTACATAGTACATGTATATGTCACAATAATGGGAATAGGTTTGTTATCTGTATATCTGCCAACTTTCCTGGACATTAAGGGGATGTATTAATCGATTTTCTAAAAAGATCCACCACTTTCATCTCTGTACCAGCACATTTTATATTAGCCATTTATTAATCCACCACCCAATCTGGAATGATGGGGCTCATTCCCATGCAATGAAATTTTATTAATTGTTCCAAGTAGAATGATCCAACTCCACAGGGACTCATCCTGAATGCAATCAGGTTAATAAATTACTGTAACACGCGTCCTCTCGTGCCAGCTTATGAGCGCATTCAGAACAATTTGATCTGAGGACTAACAGATCCATGGATCAAATATGGCTGACCAACAAGCAGAGCCGACTAATCTGCTGATGGTCTCCCCGACTCCACACGCGTCGTCCCTGCATGGGTCTAGCAATTAAACCTCGGAGCCATGATTTAATCTGTATAATGGCATATGCGGAAGATTTTGTAACTGACACTCAATATGAATTTAATCTTAAAAATATATCATCTATAATATTCACAATTTCCCCTCCATTGAAAAGATTGAGTAATTACCCCATGTAGAACAATAGTTTTGTTGGGAATGAGCCCATTTACAGTAGTTGCATTAAATCATCTACAACAGATCCCTTCTTCCAAATAAAAAATTTAAGCTAAAAATGATTGATTCTGGCTGAGGCCTTGCTGATTCTAGAATTTGAAACAGTAGTCTTTTCTGGCTAACATGTACAACAGCAGGAGTTGTGAATATATGACATTTACTCAGTCAATATATACACCTGCATATACAGGGTATTGTTACACTATATATGTGACTTCAGATGTTTTCAGGAAGCAGGTAAATACAGAAAATAAGTGACAAAATATTGATAATAGTAGTATGTGTTACATGAACATTGTGAATTAAATTGTGTATCAATTTTTATACAAATGACTGAATTGAGCCAATTGGGACATAAAAAATAAAGGAGCTCACCTTGTGCCCTAATCAATTTGCTAGATTAGATAATCATAATTTTAGTGCCTATGAATGAGGGTGAAATCATAAGGACTGGTTTTCAGCAAAGATATTTTATATACTAAGCCCTAAACATTATATAATGAAATAATGTAAAATAAATTCACAAATTATATGTGCTAACAATTTTTTATCATTAAAATGAAGTCAAGAAGGCAGATCTTCAGCAGCAGTGTACAGTTTTGTCTGTATTATTTTGTTGCAGCAATGCTGATACATGTATTACAGTGAGAACTATACCATATATAATTTTACACTTTTTGCAGATATCGCTTTGGTTTATTTTGGTCACTTTTTCTTAGAAGTTAACACACACCAGTCTTTTTCCTTTGAAAATCATATCTGTCAATCACATGTGTAATGCTGATACTAATGGATGATTATTGTTGTCTTCAGGTGTGACTTTGACTTCCTTGAAATAGCATCTGGCAACTGGAGAGATAGAAAAAGATTCTGTGGCGACTACACAGACAAACTGAAGCTACTACATTATATTGGCTTGCCTGGAGAAGTGGTCCACCTTCGATTTGTTTCTGACAGATCAAACATTTATCCTGGGTTCTTGGCCAAATACAGCATGACAACAGGTGGGTGTTATTTACCAATTATCAATAGTTTTGAATAATTTGATTTTTTATGATACTGATTGGCGTACTTTATTTGAACTGGATGCAATCAAAGGTATACTTAAGAGTGATTGAAAGTCAGTAGTCTAGAGGGTTCGACTGAACTGTCCTTTAGGCTGGGCAAACATCTGTTCTGAGTCAAAATTTAATCTTATTTTAATGTCATTATGGCAAAAAAGCCCACTTTTTTGCACACACACAAAAAAAGCTTTGGTAATGCTGCATGTTTGGTTATTGGCCTGTTTTCTATCATGTGAAAATTTGTTTCCTGTCTGATGTATTGATATATTACGATGAGTATGTACCATAGCTAGGAATGACCTCCCTTAGCAAAATATCAGGCCTGCTGCAAACTGTAGAAATTCTTTCAAATTCGCTGCAAGTTTGCTGCTAATTTGCTGAGAATTTGCTGGTAATTTGCAGCAAATTTATTGCAAGTTTGCAAGAGCTTGAATACTTTCTTGCATACTAACTGCAAACTTAATATGTTCTTGCAAATTTGCTGCTAATTTGCCAGAATGTAAAGACTAATTTTCTTGCAAACCTGCTGCAAACTTAAATTGTAATGGCAAATTTGTTGCAAATTAGCAGCAATACAATCTTTCCAATCTTTCTTGCAAACTCCTGCTAGCTAGTTGCTGCAAACTTTTAGTTTTCTGCAAATATGCTGCAATTTTGCAGCAGTATAGCTGCAAACTTTTCATTTTGCTAAGGGTATGCATACATGCTAACAAAGAAAGTTTAAAAAACATAACATGGCTTTCAAAATAAATAAAATATAAAGATACTTGTGTAACTCACTTAGTTCCAAAATTAATGCTGTAAAAATTGATCAGACTTAGGACCCAATGTCAAGCTGATTTTTGATATATGTATTTACCCGTAGCCGGCAATTTCAAAAGGGGGGTTCTTTTTCTGAAAAAGTGGACCTTTTACCTTGAAACCTTTATGTGCTAGATAAATTTTTACCCAGCAGGGACCTTTTCCCAGCAAAAGGGGGGTTCTTCCAAACCCTCGAACCCCCCTGGCTACGGGCCTGAAATGGTAACGAATTCTTGATTATGCATATCATATGGTGACAATTTTTTAATTTCAGAGACCAGCCAAGTGTTCCCCCTACAATCCCAGTCCATCACAGAGTTCCAAGGAAACCTAACCAGCCCAAAATTCCCTGAATATTATGACAACGACAGCAACTTCATTTGGAACTTCATAACTCCTTCCGGTTTCCGAATTTTATTTACGATTTTGGTAATCAATTTAGAATACCAACAAGACTGTTTGTATGATTTCTTAGGATTTCAAAGCAAGTGTGATTTGACATTGAAAAGGTATTGCGGAAGAGGAAAGAGAAGGATTTATTTTGAATCTCCTTGCAATGAAACTTCTGTGATGTTTCACTCAGATTATAAAGGGACAGGTCAGGGATTTTGGCTCACATGGGATACAATTGATATGTCATCTTGTGAACTGTCACCTCAGATAATGACTGCTCCCTCTGGGCATGTGGCCAGCCTGAACTATCCTGTACAGTATTTGAATGATTTAGCATGTGTGGTGGAGATTCAAGGAGAAAGTGGACAGAGGATTTTCCTGGAATTTCAAGATTTCACACTAGATGGCTCCTCTACAGATTTTGTTGCCTTGGATTTCCATGATGGACTTGAGAAGTTGACTCTGTCAAATCTTATATACCCTGGAGATATGAATGATGATATACACTTTCTGTCTCCTAGTAACAAATTGACCATTACCTTTTATTCAGATGGTGCCAATACTTCCAAAGGTTTTTATGCCACTTACAAAGCTGGTAAATTTGTCTAAAATATGTTTCATTCTTTTGAACAAGAAATATGTACAAAGTTCTATCAAGCTTGGCAGATGATTAGTATTTTTTGTATTTAAATATAATAAATTTTACTGAAACTGAAATGTGGTTTTTAATGCTATTAAAACAGTTTTATGATTTCCATGTTTAGATGTCAGTCCTTAGGGTGAGTTAAGCCTTGTTGGTTCTATTTTGATTCAACAAAATTCTTTCTAAATCATATCTAATCTCTAATTATTTATTTATATTTTTCAGTCTCTGGGGAAACAACCCGAGTCAACAGTCTCAAAAACCTAGGACCAAAAGCTTATGGCAGCGTTTCTAGTCTCAACAGTCCATTCCAGTACCCCAATTGTCTCGTCCATGGTACCACTCTCAAGGCACCCCTGGGTTATATTATAGAACTGACCATTACACAAGTGGACATCAAACAATCCAAAAGTTGTATCTCGGACAGGCTAGAGGTAGTTGATCCCTACGGTGGTTACCAGGACAACAGTGCTGTCAAGGGTCGTCAAGGAAATACTATCACCATGGCAACAATCTGTGGGAAGGACAGGGGTATAATTTTGGAAAGAAACAGTGCTCCTGGATCTCTGTCTGGTCACCCACTTTCTCATGTATATACCTCCTACCTGAACCAAATGAAACTGCTTTTTACAAGTGGTTGTGATAAAAGTGGCATCAGTAATAAAGACAAGAATACAGGCTTTGTAGCAACATTTGCAGTTAAGGAAGGTAAGACCATTATTTTGCACCCATTTTTCTTTTAAAGTAACCAATATTGTACTTATATTTGATATAAACTGTATCATTTTTTATGTTTAGACAATTTGCTCACACTTTAAATAACATAATTTCTCATGACGTGTAATGTGCAGTTTATATTGAATTGAGACATGTATTATAAAAACAACGTACATGTAGTTGATATTCTGCTTACTTTTTGGAGTGTTCTTGTAGATGTTTAGAAAGAGTATCATTAGTATATGTGTATTAACTTTACATCAGTTTCAGTAGTTTTGAATTTTATAAATAAGGTAGATCACACACAAAAGCTTCATTGTCATTTATGATTATTACCAAAATACAATTAAAGCATCATTATCAATTATTTTAATTTTAGCTATCAATATGATATACAGTATTATGTCACATAAGACAGGCATTGATTCCGGGGTGTTGAAAAAAGTGAAATATTATTTTCTTAATCTTATTTCAGATCCAGTTTTTCTAAACAAAACATTCAACGATGCAGTGAATGTTTCGCTGGACAACTGCGACATTAATGTTTGTCAGAATGGAGGACAGTGTAAAAGCACATCAACAAAATCTGCATTTTTCCATCACTGTCAATGTTCAGGATATTACACAGGTGAGTGGTTTGTGTCACAGGTGCACAGTAATATTAACACAATAAGCTTGACAAGGTACCCAGGTGTAACAATGCATGGAGAACATGACTGAAATATAACACTTGCCTGTGCTGATATTAATTGTCAAAGTGAAAGCCTTGGTATGGTAATGCTACATAAAAAAGAGACTGGAAGAGATTTTGATGCCTTCTGAGATCTTCTTTTACAATTCAGATGGCACCGGGTCAATAAATGGAGACTGGAGGTTTGCAGACCTTGATCACATTTATATCCAACTACAGTGTACACTGTAGCATTATCAAATGCTTGGTGTAATTTCTAGTTTTTATCCATTTCATTCTAATTAGTCACTCTCTGTCATTTTAATATCAAGTGCACTCAATTCATTTTGATTGCTAATAAGATATTATAAATCTAAAATTAGAAATATATCTAGAATAGCAATTAATACCAAATGGACCACTACTATTACATGTACAAAGTGTGTTTCATGTAACAATGGACCATCAGAAAAATAATTCAGTTTCCATATCTTCTGACTCGTTTGCCAAAACCAGCCAGTTTGCGTGCAAAAACTGATTTTCTTTTTTATCTCATGAATCTGCCATGCACACAAGTATAATGTGCATGACTAGTAATTAAAGCCCATTTACACACATTGACACTTGCTGTGAAGTCACACTGGGATGCGAGTCATGCTTTTACAATGCAGCTATGTACAGCTATATATACCCAGTGTATATTACACCTGTAGCTAATTCAGCTTTCTGAGAATCTAAATCAAGTTGCATTTTACAACGAAGAGACATTTCAGAACAAGTTGATATGTGGACTGACAGATCTAAGGACTAAATATGGCGGACCCACTTAAAAGTAATGCCAATAAACCTCAATGGTCTCCCTACCTCCACATACCCTGTCACTGCAGGAGTCTGGCAATTAAACTTCGGAGCTGAGATTAAATCTGTTTAATGGCATGTGTGGAGGTGGGGAGACCATCAGGGAATTAAGGGGCTTGCTCTTAAGCATATTTAGCCGAAAAATCAGTTAGTCCATGGATCAGCTATTCTGCATGTGCTCTAAGGCATTTGTTCATCTCCATGGCTCATCTATCATTACATTGTTAAAACTTATTTAGCTCGAAGGCAAGACTGTTATTGTCATGACATTGTTTTTAACTTGCAGAGATTACATCGGCCTATTATGGTATTCCAACTACGTATTTATCACATACATGTATTAATAGTAAATTGTCAAAAGCATGTACCTTCTCTACTTAAACAATTTTCACAATTAAAAATCACTTTTCATTGTAAGCAATATGTATCTGAAATAATGAATTCCTAAATCTTTTGAAATATAATAGTCTCATGATACTGATATTTGCTTGCATGTCTCAGAATTTTCACCATGGTTTTATTTTCAGGACTTTTCTGTCACATCACTCACTGTGACCTGGCTAACTGCCACAGTGGACACTGTCACTTAGTGGACAATGGACATGTATGTAATTGCTTTGACAACTTCTTTGGGTCTGACTGCAACATGTCTCAGGCTGTCTGCTCACAGCAGAGATGTCATGGCCATGGGCAATGTGTCCGTTCTGAAGAGGGACAGGAATTGTGCCTTTGTAATGGAAATTGGACAGGTATTTGTATGGATTTTGTGGGGTGGAAGAGAAAAAAATATGTAAATTTTCACAACATAGTCCACAATTATTACCCCTCCCCCCCACCCCCCCCCACAAAC